ACGTTGTGGTTGTCATAGGGAAAACGTCCGTCTAGCGGAAACCTCCCACGTCATTGAACACAGTCGTTGAGTCGTGATAATTATAAGCCAACTAGTTGGCAGTTTGGTTATCTAGTTCGTACCCGGTCGGGCCGCCGAGTAGAAAACACTGAAATTCGTATGTTTGAGCTCAACAGCCAGTTTACTAATGCTGCTGTTTATCGAACTTGAACTACCTACGTTAGTGAGGTCGCTATTTCAAATACTTATCGATCCACTACTTTGGCATGAATTATTTACAGGTACGCTACCTGATTGGCTGAAACCTCAGGGTGGCTGATGGCCGAAGGTAATGACCTAGAAGAATTGATTACAGAATAGTAGAAGAGCTTAGCCATTAGGTTTAGTCAAACAGAGATTAGACGTCCGTTTCATTTTTTGACGGAACTATCAGCAGCGTGTATTCCATTGACTACACGCGCACGCTATCTCTCAAGACGAGGCTCAGCGGATGGGCCGCATTACTGATTAAAGGGTCTCATCGACATGACCAAGCGCCAAGCGAATAAAAATTGCGTTCCGATCGTTACCTCTACATCCGGACCCCACTATCTGAAATCTGAAAAATAGTCTACGACTTCAGTAACCTATCTCTCCCGGATTGTCCTGCTTGGAACTATATTGAGTGTTTGATTCGTTTTCGATCCAATAACTGGACGCGTGCAGTTCTTTAGATTTGCCAGTGGGTGGTAGAGAGTAAATACACAGGACACTTTGCCCCTCTCATTTTCTCAACACATGGGTGTGAAAAGAACGGGTTGAAGCTTCGCCCACGATGCTAATTGTGTCACCCTTGTTTCAGTCGACTAGGCCGCAGTTTCACAGCTAAGCATGATAAGCCGACCAAGCCTAAAACGACTACAATCCCAAAACTAGTGATGTACATGGTGCTTCCTCTTGGATAATCAATTCTGGCAGTCACATAAAGTTTCTTAATGCTCTTTCCTGTACGCGAAGTGACAACAATGGGGACCCACGAATAACAACTGCATTATCTGCTAAGTCCCAATTGCATGAGAAGCTGCTAACTCAAGCCTCGAACTGTCATGTCCCGCCTAAAGTCTGCTATGGCTAGTGTCCAAGCGCATCGAGAATATCGATGGATCCGGTCAAATTGATCGATAGCAAAAGGATGGTTGACCTAGATTTTTCGCAAGCATCATTGGGCGACTCTGCATCGTCATTCTTTTTGGATAGACGTACATCCATTGGTCATAAAGTTATAGAAGACGTGCCGCCATTTTTGCACCTTACAAACGGTGTAATTGGGTACCAAGACTTTCCGATTCCATCAACGAACCACACAGATCATGCTGATGTTGGTGTATGGATTGACACCAGTGTGCCTCCACCGCGTATAATGAAGCCTTGCATCTCGAGCGCAATGAAACGAATTTTACCCATGGATGGAAATGGCAGCAACCCACTGACTCCTATTAATGCGTTACGTAATCAACAGCATACTAGTGACATGATGCAGAGGACACAACCTAACACTCCAGCTCCCACAGGCTATTACAACCATCATGGACTCTTTCCTTCGAACCATTTCCTAGAGGGCCATACTCAATCTAAACCCCCTCCGATGTGGCTACCTCCAAATCATTTTCCACCGGTGGCAATACGCGCACTTTTTCAACAATTTTTAACCTGGGTCCAGGCACACGGCTTGAAACCCGTGTTTATAACAAAACCTAAACAAACTTCCTCATCTATCTCAGTATTTTGATAAACATTCGTTCTCCTCACTCTAAGATCCACACTACGCTCGTTTGTTTTGGTGAATAATCCTAATATAATATTTATAACTGAATCTTGGTGCCATGATGTCATGTCTGACATTCAGTTAACTATTTTCGAATATAATAAGTTTATAAGAAATCGGCCTGGTCGTCGAGGTGGTGGCTGTGTAATTTATCTGAAACAATCGCTCGTAGCAGCAGCCTTCGAGAACCTAGTGCTGAACTATGTTCAGGAATCACTCTGGCTTACGTTATCTGTTAATCAGCAGCAGCTGCTTATGGGATGTATATACAATGCGCCAAACTGCAGCCAAGAAAACATAGAATGTTTGACGCTTGCATTTTAATGCACCGCTAGCCTACCATTTAGAAATAAGATTATTGGAAGTGATTTCAATCTGCCTTCGATTTCATGGCCATTGGAAACCGCTCCTTTGAAATGCCAAAATCTTATCTCCTGTATCCAAATGAATGGCTGGAAGTAACACGTCTCCCAAGCTACCAGAAATGAAAGTACTCTGGATCTCATTTTTTTCATTGGGTATACCTGCAATCATTGTTAACGTTCTTGATGAATTTACGAGTGATCAAATGCCGCCTAAGACTACGCATGGCCGATGTATAGAAAACAATGCATTATCGTCTGTTCACTTCTGTAAACTGGGGCTTTATGAAGGACCTGGTTCATTCGATGAATTGGGATAAAATCTTTCTTCATATCCTCAACATGCGACGGACCAGATTTATAATAAAATTGGCTTCTGCATCAATTCAGCAGTACCACTAAAATGTGCTTACCAAACTAAACATAAATCCGGTCGCAAGGCGTCGAACGCAGCACGAAAGCTTCATAAAATTCGGCAGAAATTCGTTAAACACTGACTTTGCGCTATTATTACAGCAGTCGAAGCTCGTTGAAGAACAGAGGCATCAACGTGACAAAACTCTCATTCTAGAATAGTATAAAGCTCTGAACGGCTCTAGCAAAACAGCTGAGCTAGCCAAACTATTCCGTGTCCAGGATTCGCGTTGCAGCGACAATTTCAATTTTATCACCAAGCCTGATCGAACTACTACGACGCACCAGGTGATATCTGCGAAGCTTTCAGTGCTTATTTTGCCGAATCAATGCTCAGTGAATCATCAGACACACCAACACTTATCATGCCGCACAACAATGAAGGGCTATACATAGTGGAATTCACTATAGTGAAAATCACTGGTCAAATCTCTCGCTTATACTCCTCAACGTGCGCAGGCCCTGATGGGATCCCTCCTTGTTTAATAAAAAGTGGTGGTAGTGTCTTCCTTCTGTTTTTGCTCAATATCTTTACACTTTTACCAACGGAGTATACCCTACTCAATGGAAAACCTGTCGTTATCCTGCGACATAAAAATGGCGCTACTCACGAGGTTAAAAACTTTCGTCCCATCAATCACACACCCATCGTATCTAGAATAATGGAAAGGATAGTGAAAGATGACCTATTTGTATTCTTGAACAATGCTAACATCAACAATTCGCAACACGGCTTCATGCTACGTCGATCCTGCGAAACATCCCAGACCGACTTTTTAAACCACACAACGGCTGCCATAGATAACGGAAACAGTGTTGTAATCCTGTTCCTGGATGTGCAAAAAGCCTTTGATACAGTGCCTCACAGAAGGTTACTAAACAAACTAAAGGATATAGGCATTGGAGAACCGATGTTCTCTTGGCTGTCTTCATATCTAATTGGTAGACAGCAGGTGGTGCGCATAGGCGACCATTTCTATAAACCGAAAGCAATCACTAGTGGAGTGATTCAATGGAGTGTTCTTGGTCCTCTTCTTTTTCTAATTTACATTAACGATATATTCCAGAGAATAAAAATGGCATTGCATTTATCTTTGCTGTTGGTATTAAAGTTGTCTACTCACAACCACAGCAAATACTCAGGAAGCCGTACGTCTCATTCAGGATTACCCATCTGCCCTTGACTCCTGGTGCCAACTGTGGCAGATGTCGTTTGCCGTGGACAAGCGTAATATTTTGTCGTACAAATGCCAAGTACCGCAAGACAGTTTATTACTACAAGGCGCATATATCTCGCAATGCAGGGCAGTTCGCGACTTGGGCGTGCGATATTCAGTCACGTTTAATTTTTCTGAACACTGTGACATTCAAGTTTAGAAAACCATGAAGACCATCGATTACATCTGCCATCATTTTTTACCTCACGGAAGCTCGCATATCGCTTTACAAAACATATGTATTGCCGTGTATGGAATACTGTTCAATGGTACAGTCTAATCTGCGGAAATATGACCAGCACGCTCTTGAGAAAGTCCAGAGACGCTTCACGAAAAAGCTATGTGGATATTCCTCAAAGCTGACATACAGAGAGCGATGTGATAAACTTGGATTTGACCCAGTTTGGCTTTGGATGATGAAGCTGAATCTATGTTTTCTCTACAGAATCATAAATTGTCAAATTCGCAATCTTGATAACGGTGTTCACATATCTTCAAACAGCAGATATCCAATACGTAACAAAGAGGTAGAGGTCATGATTCCAAAATTTACTACAAGAATCAGAGAACGTTTCTTTCTAACCCAATACTCAAAGATTGGGAACAAATTTCCAAGTGATATCAGAATATGCTATACATTTAGCAATTTTAAGCCTGCGATCAGTAAACATTTAACCGTCCAAAAGGTGATTAATATGTTCGGGACACCACAGTCCCTAGATAACGCATTCGAAAACGGTATCCATGGTGCTCGGATAAATTTTCGAAACGCATACACATAACATTTCGGACAACAGCCCCTTTCATTACATTTTTTCTCCGCCCAAACATCTGTCATGTGATTGTGAAGAATCCTGATTCCATGACAGGAACAAATAGCAGAAGGATTCTGATTACATGGCTGTTGAACTGTTCGCTGAGCTTGGCAATTTTGTTGCAAACGTTTCGTCACCAATCGAGGTGACATCATCAGTGCGTACTTGAGTGGCGTGCAATAGCGTAGAGTATCGCAGAGAAGCCTCGGTGAGGCTACTCTACGCTATTGCACGCCACTCAAGTACGCACTGATGATGTCACCTCGATTGGTGACGAAACGTTTTCAACAAAATTGCCAAGCTCAGCGAACAGTTCAACAGCCATCTGAACAACCTGAGCTACCAGTCTTCAATTCTATAGATTCTGATTACGTTGTGTTACGTAATTTGCAATTACACCCATGTTTATTTCTGAGAATGTATTAATGCGATGTCATGGAAAGGTCGTACCATTATTTGATCTTTTCTTTTTAGGGAACAGCTTCTTGCATCGTCGAGGAATATAAATTTATTTAGTAAAAACAAGGATTCATTGCTGATCAGTGCAGTGAGATACTTGTCTGCAAATACTACGGCATATAATACACTGTTATTGCTTCGATTGCGTGCGGACTATTCCTTTTGGTTCCACCGGGATGTTCCCTGGAGGGGCCACAAGGTAGCCCTCCCATGCAACTGGTGCTTGTTCCATGATGCTGGTCGCGACTGATGGATTGAAGTCTGTCGGGTCGTCAGCATACAATGGACAACTGTGCTCTGTTAGGCTGTACATTGGCGCCACTGTGTCCCAAGACCACCGGTTGTCAGAGGTTGTGCCGAAGAAGGCGCAGTCTGTTAGTAGTGGGTCCGCGTAACGAATCGCCTCTTCGAGCACTGTAAGACATTTCTGGAAAAAATGGACAGTTAATAATAGGGCCGGTAATTTCATCACACTGTTCATGCTAAGGGTAATGGATGAGAGCAAGGAGAGGAGGTTGAGGCTTTGTTTAGCAACTCTAATGCTCCCATCGATTATCAATGCTTACTATACGTAGGGGCATGCAAATAACAGATGGCTCAGTTCCAGATGACTCGGAATTGCATAGTCGGTTTTCACACGTGTATATCACTGAGTGGTGACAGCTCACACTTAAGTTTGGATAAACGCATGTACATATGTTGTATTCGAACTGCCATTGGACACAGATGACGCCAATCTATGTATATATGTATACCGAATGAATTCCACGAGGATCTTCTTACCGCTTTTGTGCGGTTAACTTAGTGCAGTAGAACCACATTCGAGCAAACTGAAAATAATATTACCAGAACATGAAAAAGGTGAGTTTATGACAAACTCACGTTGATTTCAGGTGTTGCGAATCCAAGGCAAATTTGATCGATGCGAATTCCGTGAACTACTCAAAAGGGCGGTTTCTTAGGTGCCGGAGAAGGTACAATTGTATGCGGAATAGAAACACCATGAGTATGTTCCCATTCAATTTACTAATCCAGGCCAATAAGACGGCGTATGTGGTACGTTTGCCTGCGTGATGAGTAATCTTGCATTTCAGAAGTAGATGTTGCTTGAGCTCCCCTGTGTGGATGCGCCTGATGTGAATGTTGACAAGGTGCCTACATGGTATCCAAAGGTTGTTTTGTATTACAGATTGCCTGTCTCGATCACCGTTACTTTCGTAGCATTGCTGGTGTACGATAATAACACTGTATCAGTAATAATGACATTACTCGTCTGATTTCCAGGTCAAGCGAACTCTACCGGTCGCTGAGCTGCATATTTTCACCGCGCACACATCCGTGGTCTGGATAAGTGTTTTGCTTACCTTTTCGGCGTTTGTCTACATGCAACAGGTATCTTTTTGCAGTCATGAGTTTGTGACGTGGAACCTAGCACGCTTCGGGTTGTTTCAAGCGTTCTTCAGAAAAACATTCCTATCTCACCGAGGTATTCTGGTGCTGACTGATCACGGAAACGAAAGCATGATCCGATTTGCCCGTTTTCACCGTTCTTTGACGTTCAGATGAGCGACTTTGAAGAAGATGCCACGCTACCTCCGATTATGCCATTACAGTTTATCCCTAGAAGATCTCAAGTTGTCCGATTACGTTTCCACTTGGAAGGACAAGAAAATACAGGTACACCGAAAACCGATTTATTTTCGTACGCTGATTGGCAATCAAACGAAATTCCGCATTGGTCGCAGGATGCGACCAGGTCTTTTCCATAATCGGCCACCTGCCAAACACGAAAGCGGGCTAGAAGTCAATGCAGATCCCGTGATCTGCTGTACCTGGAGTAAAGCATGAAGGCGGAAACATAAACCAGTCAAATTACTACAGTAGATAGATGCTGCCCATTCGAAAGACCGCACTTCACGACAAGCTTCGAATATGCTTGCTACGTAAGATATTTCACCGATGCTGTAAACTCAAGTGGCAGTACCCATGAGGGCCAGTATGAAGAAAGAGCTATTTTACCATTCCTGCCATGAAGTCAAGTTGGTATTCCGATCGAAACTTAACTCGGTTAGGGGTCGGTAAGTCGTCTAGAAATGCATTGCATGCCCGATCCGCACTGTTCGATACTCGGGAAGCATTAGGACCTGTGAGCTAGCTATGCCAATATACGCGCGCTGCAAAAATCTTAAGTCGCAGTGGCATCTCAGGGTTTTTATCTTAGATGGGCAGTTACGAGGTCATCTGAACACCAATTACGCCATTATCGATTCCAATTTCTGTAACCAATCTGACCAGGTTTATTTAGCCTGAAGAAGACAAAGTACAGAATCGGGACAAGAGCCTGCCGGTGACCTCCCTTTTACTAATTTACCTTCGTGCACCCAGGACACCTGCTCCACTGTATGGTAATTGACTTGATCTCTATCGATTACCCATTCAGTCCGTTGGGGAAAATCTTATATTCCTAAAATGAACACATTCTCAAATGTTTGGCGGACGATCCGGTGTGATGCGTAGGGATTCTGATTTCCGCCACTCTTCATTTCATTCGTATGAGCCACTGCTCAGACTCACTGTCTTGATTGGTGCCAACGTCGCTTCGGTACTTTAGGGATCCTGCACGGTACGATACTTTGCCAGTTGTTCGGGGGAAAAGAGTTTCCGCTAAAAATCACGTCTTGCTTCCTTAGCCGTTGGTTTCTTCGGGGGACCATAAGGGATTGTCGGCCTTCCGAGGAGTGCGTATGCTTGGTAACAGTCATTCCGATTATTCATTCTTTAGCGCGTCCACGTTAGCTATACTGTTGCGATGCAGTCTGCTGCAATGAAGATTGTTTAGGGCACTTCTATCCATAGCGAGTTCATCTCGGAAAAGATATTCTATCGCCAAAGTTACGTGATTGTTCCCCGTTAAAATTGTGTCCCCTAAGTTTCGCGGTGCGTCGTAGTGGGTGAGATTTATTCATCAGTGATCCGGGTTCCCGAAGTGCCAAATGCTGTGAGTATCCACCCCCTCCTACTTGTTCAGACCCTGTAAAGCGAGGTAACTCGTAACTACCATAACACCTAATAGGATGGTCTTGTTTACTATGCTGACAAGTGTTACCACTGACGAATGTGGATCTGGTGGGACTTGCAAGTGGAAATCCTCCCGCTAGCCAGCAGTTGAGGGCAATTTTGCCCTGTGGGTCTAAGTAGACAGAGTATCCAAGGCTGAAAACTTGGTGGGTAATAAGGTATTCATTCAAATGAAGGTTTATATGTAGAGCCCATACGCTTAATTACGCTTACGTATTCAGAAACGTGAAACTTACTTCTGAGCCAAATTCGGTCAGGGAAACTCGCTCTAGTAACTTGACGGTGTCCGCGTCCAGCTGCTTACGTGGAGGCAAACTACTTTTTGGTATTCGAAACACTCCTGATTGCTGAAATCCACCAACAAGGAGGCATATGAGTAAAATATCCATGTGAGCGCAAAACCGGTATTAAATAGATGTTTGGAAAAACAGGGGCGAGGTCGGACTGAACAGTATAATCGTTTGCAATGCCATTGGGTGCTGCTGGCTACGTGCTACATTCACTATTACTGCGACCATCGTTCACTATGGATGCAACGGATCTGCATATCGCCAAGGGTTAGCCGAAACCCCGAAGCAGTGATATCAGCTTACAGCAATAGAGAACTCAGAGGACACTCCACAGTCAGTTTAAGCTTTCCTCAGACTCCTCAAAAGAAGGTAGCCTGGCTGGGACTCAATCTAATAGCAGCCGGTTGAATATTCCGACGGCTTGTCTCAGTTGACGATGTGAGCAACACCGAGATGTGCCTGCTTCTGACGTGTTCCTGGTAACAGGAATTTAGCTTTCAACTAATTCGCTATCCAGACTAAAATGCAATCCACAGACAACCAATCGTGAATTAAGTCTCCTGTTCACTGTGCCGACTCTATGCATATCAGCATTCAAGGATACATGGCTGTTCCAGAACAGTGGTCGGTAAATACACAACCCGCCATACGCTGACAACTAGCGTCGCTGACAATATGGGCAGTTTTGTTGATTCACTAAGCCCCTTCGTTATTCGCGAATTTATGTCAATCCTTATTAAAATATGGAAAAACGGTCATTGATGCTCACCTGATCGTCCAAAGCATTTTCTGCATCTTCCCCGACGTCAAATCGAGACCACACAGGTGCTGGTGGCACAAAACGGAAGGATTTTGATAGAGATTTCACAATTGTCATCCTGCAGTCGTTTGACGTTCGGCTCAATGCCCGAAAGGCGAGATCCAGGGGATGCCGAAGTTGAAGCGTAGGAGTAAAAGCACTCATTATTTATTGAGGGGAAAGAGATCGGGTCATATTTGTTCATTGCCTGTGGTGGGGATCGCCTGAAATGCGCAGAGTGCAAGAAGTGATCATGTATTACTGTGGATACTGCGTCGTACTAGCGGCAAATGAGGTCTGGGTTCAGACGTCACCACTATCCTGCACCCATTGCCTAGATCTAAACATCCCATCTGCGCGTTGCAGTTGTGTAGTTGCACACACCGTTTGCCACATATTAAAGAATGGCTCTTCATACATACTAGCGATCGCAGAGTTGGTGTCATACTTGGTTAACACGGAATTGGCCAGCACATACCTACTCTCTTCTAGCTTTGGTCACCCAAAATATTACCAGAACTGGAACCACGGTAAATACGAGTCTCTCGTTATTCTTCAGACCACGTGAAACAGCAAAATTCAACTGCACCATCATAATGCTATCAAGGTGATTGCGTCTTTGACAGCCGAGTCCATAAATTTCCACCATATCAAAGGACTGCTTCGCTACTGCCCGCTCCCGGACGTACACCCCAAGACCGGTTTTGGGACTATTCCGCTAGAGATAATACGACAGCAGTGTGAAACCCGGCATACAATGGCGCACGGCTAACTTGACAATTGAGATCCGCAAAAAACGCTTCACACAGCGATTCGAAGTTCACTGTTGGGCTTATCAGTATCCACCGCGTCTCTAGACTTCGACCCGCAGTCTCAATTTTGTGCCCTAAAATAAGCGGAACAGCTGGTTCCATCGATGGCAGTGCGCAGGGTCTTCGTCTCGCGCGGCTACATCTCGTTAGTACCTGCCTGACTTTCGTGCTTACCTAACCAGGTGTGCGCTTATTTCTCAGGTGTTTTTACAGCCTTACTACTGCTCGTTGGTCGCTGTGCAGCAAGAACAAGCTGCAAGTTGACCGAGTAGGTGGAATAGAAAATTGTGCCCTTAACCCTCGACTAGTGAAACGAGTTTTATCGTGTTACGCGCATGAATCCGCTCGGCATGGAGACATCAGTAATTAAAACTACCCATTTATTCTCACGATGGCTATAACTACGGTGGATCTAGCCAACCTGTGTCCACGCGAACGATGATCAAATGTCATAAAATATAGGGAGCCCTTCTCGTCTTTTCGTGGTCAGTCACTTGTGCACGCGCATGCAGATGCATCTACTTAAAAGCCGAAGCCCCAAGCTTCATCAAGAAATTGAAATGTTAACCTCAGACAACGGTCGATTAATGCGTGACATATGTATGTGGGATGCTATTAACTCTAGCTCCGCCTCTTCTCTTATCATTGACACAGCTGTCTCACTACCTCTAACTCCCAAGAAGAACAAACGAGCTACTCTGTAATATCCCTGTGACAATAAGAGAGGTGCAGAACGCCATTGCATTCATAAAACCGTCAAGCCATCCGGGACTAGATGACATCACCCTAGCTGTTGTTACAAGGTATCTTCCCGTCTCAATGGAAGCACTTCATCGTAACGCCAAAACACAACGGTGATCCGTGAAATAAATTCCAAACCATCACCAGATAAACCGCACTTTTGTTGTTTCTAAAGACCTAGAGAGAATAGTTAAGAAGAGCGCTGTTCAAGTTCCTACACGACTGGACCTGGTCCATCAATCGCAACGTGGGGCTCTCTTTCAAGACACTCCTGCGTTACCCACTGAGTAAGTGGCCGTGGCATGATGTGCCCAGCACCACAGTTGCTCTCCAAAACGCGGTGTTCTTGTACACCAGACCACCGGTTTGCACTGAGTACTGTTTGAGGGAGAAAGCCGGTTGAAGCGTGCGGCTCCTGATGCTGCAACTGGAGAAGCACGCAAAAAGATCAGGTGTTAACACGGAGGATGATGAAAAGGATGGGAAATGGATTTCGATCGTGTATGCCGCGCCTCAGTGTGATGGAAGCGAGGTCTGCTTTGTCAGTGATCGGGATCGCTGTCTGATGCAACGTGGCTAGGTCAATGGAGTTTTGCGCTTAATCCCTTGCATTTAATCGCAAATTCTTCCACCGTATATTCCCGATATCTTTTCCAAACCGTTTCGACGAGCATTCGAACTTATACCATGACCACGAGAATCATTGCATTCCGATGATCGGGCCATAGTTAATGAAACGAAGCGAATGTGCACATGAAATTCATGCGACTAATCCCAAACTAAGACAAAATACATGGTGTGCTCATCCGCACTGACAAGATGCATTCGCAGTACTCGGTGGTATCGCGTTTCCGTCAATCACCAAGTAGATGGAATTCACATCTCTACTCATAAGTACATAGAAATCATCTCCCAAACGCAATGTTCTACATATCTACTATCAGCAGAAGTCGTGTCTTTCGAACGTTTGTAAGCTATACGGTAGTGGAGTTAAGGACGCGTTAGTAAATCATGTCGGACCGCCGTTGTCCCCCCATGACTCAGTGTCAAACCGTTGGTGGTCATAGTTTCGGATCCTGATGGATGCCCACTACCGAAGAGATTCAACAGGTCGAAAAGGCCGTCTAGTGCTTTTTCCTGGACATATGGAAGACTATTTAATTCGGAAGCGGCTGCGAGGCACTCTTAATTACATCAAAAGCCTTACATCAGTACAGCAAAAGGATCCTGAAATGTCAACCTGATCTGCCCAATAAGTTCCTGGACGAGTTTGCATGTGGTCATACCTCTTAATTTACTAAACCTATTACTATCACTTGAAGAATGATGACAGGAAAGTAAGTTTTTAGTGATGTTAGACAGGTTCAAATGATCGTAATAGGAAATAAAAATGGATTGAGGCATACGAATGTGTTGGCATCATCGTGTTGAACGCAACATACTGAAAAATGTTTGTGATTGCCATTCTACAGAAGTACTCATTCCACATGATTTGAGTTTCTGAAATAATTTTCCTGTCTCACCATCTTTTAACCGCCTTGGAAACTAACTTAAGTAGTATGATGTGGAAAACCAGGCTATCAAACCAGAGGTAGTTGGTAATCCAGATTGTGGAACTAGCACAGTCCTATATCGATGCCGGCCCACCATTTTTGTGAATTTAACTGATAAATAAGTGTTAACGCGCATATGCGAGCCATCGATTGCACGCGGGATGGAGTACCTCCGGGGAGTTTATAATATGTAAGAGCAAGGCGAAACGTGGATGAGTGTGTTGCAAGGCATCTGGACTATTGTATCATGCAACGCAATCTGTATTCCGAACGTCGAATTATAATAGTCTTTGAATGTTTAAAAATAAACAAGACGGGTTAACTTGGAAGTCGAATCGAGGGATTAGCAGCTAAAATCAACAAAAGAAGCGCCAGCCTTGGATCTTCCAAGCACATTGTCCAAGAACATGTTGCTGATCGCTAGTGTTTCGCACACGACCGACATTTTCACGCCTTTTCTTCCAAATGTCGTATTGTCAACAACGGGTTTTATCCAATCAGATGCTGTACCGAACACACCGGAGTAGGTGGTTCGCCAACAGTGAAGTAGCTGATTGTAAGCCCAGTTCGTACAGGGGTTAAGCTAATACAATGAATTTTTTCTCTTCAAGCGAGAAGTTGCGTCAATATTTGGCACAAAATGCTCGGAATAGTGAAAATGGTTAGTGACTCTTCCATTGTCCATATTTATTGTGTCAAAACATTTTAGAAAATCGAATTTATTAAAATCAACTCCAGAACATTGGATATGTTCTTAAAAATCTCTCGCCATTATTGTGTATCATTGCTTCCTGTATTGATTTATTTCACTGTAACGAACTTTTGCTACACAACCTAGATTGTGACATCCCACAAAATTTCGCTATCCTAGTATTTCGCTGTAAAAGGATTCGATTGCAGTTAGATGCGTCGTGCCCTGAAAATGAATGAAAATAAACGCTTACAAGAGGAAAAACCACGTGAACGAACTTAGCTGTATATTGTGATTAAGCAAGTACTATCGGATAGCAATGACTGAAGGGCGCGGTAGTAGTTAGTCAGCATGGGTCGCAGTGGAGGGGAGACCGAAAAGGTTCGCATGCAGAAAAAAGCTAAAAATATTGGAAGTACCGTAAACACAAAAAGCGGACAAGTAGAGGCGAATTAAAAATGAGTGTAAAAATGCACAAGGGACGCGACTACGTGGGAACAACATCACGGCGCATGTTGACGAGAGCATATAATACATGTGGAATGGACCACTGGGGAACAAGAGGGAAGGATAGTTTCGCAACAGAGACGAGACATGCGAGTTTTTGAAGGCAGATTATGGTCAACACATCCCGGGGACTGTGGCTAATAATCGTTCTCTTCGTACGTCGGATTGATCACCTTCGTGGTGGGCGACTCGAATATCGGATTCTCGGCCATCTCCCAACGCATATTTCCCTCTGCTGCTCGAATTTGGCCAACTCTCGTCGGTCGTCAATGGTGATGACCAATTTGTAAATGAGCAGCAAGATGAGACAACCGAGCACGATGCCTGCGATCACTCCGAGCACGATATACAATATGTTAATGGTTTTCACACATTCACTTTTACGCATGATATTCAAGTCCACCTGAAGAAGACGAAGAGAGGGAGGGTGTTGATTTCGTCTGGTATGTAAACTAACAGAAAATGTCAAACAAAGTTTTGTGAGACGATATCAACTAAATGTGTCTCACTGACTAAGACAACTCAAATTGTATCGGTGTTTGCGGAGTATTGCTTGTCTCTGGTGCGAACACCGAGTGAGGAATCCGCCAGCTGCTTTGCGGCAATAAGCCTTCTGTTGTCTCGCTAAAGTCTGTTGAACGTGAATCGAGTATGTAGGCTAAGTTATGTCCATTGTATGCCCATTGATCACCTTCCTCATGGTGTATTATACGCCGTGGCTGCACCAAGTTGAGCGAAACCGCGATCTGGCAAGTCGATGAAGTGATAAAATTGACTGAGACACAGGTTGGTACGTTGGTGAATGGGGTCACTAAGATGGTCCACACCAATGACTGGAGACTCTATCGGGCATGGCGCAGCAGCGCAGTCAGTGGCGTCTTTGTATGCGCTTTTTTGCACCTAGCCGTTAATTCTCCATTCCGATTAGTTTTAAGCACTTCTGACCTGAGTCCATTTTTGTATTCTATTTACCTTCAAGCCCATTGCCATTAATTGTCATTCTTGCGATGTGAGTCCTGGCAACTGGATCTATTGCGCCCGGATGTTAGTTGCTCAACTGAACGGAACGGTGAATGCTGTTCGTTCTCAGCATAAGACGTAGTGAATCGAACACTTCATCAAATGGCTCCGATCCCCTTGGCTAGACGCACACAGTGAGCGGGTTCATCAGCACGGACGATTCCGATGCTTCGATGAGGTTAACATCCCCTCACAAATGTCTACGCAACCGAAGAAGCCTATTGTATACGCATCACGTTGCACAGGCCAAAGCACTGACAGCAATGTGAAGGGAAGTAGACACAAATTCCGTATAGAGAAATGCCAACGGAAGAAAAGATGAGGAATGACTATTCTTGACGAAAGAACGTGTTGGTATCATAACTTGTGACACCTGTCTGTAGATCTGAAAACCTCAATTCGAAATCATGGGAGGTGAATAAGAAACTTTGAAAGGAATATTTGAAAACTGCCTCAACCAAGAAAACTTAGTTGTCGCGTGCATTGTACGTAACTCGAAAACTATGTGGTTCATGCAATGGTATGAATTAATAAAGCTTTCTAAAAACAATTAGAAGCCGTTTGTAAGTCGAAGATTTAAACGATAATTACTTTTGGTGTATACATATAATTAGTGAAGCGATGTGCTACAACATTTGTCTGTTAGAAAGGAGTATTGTAAAGCAAAACCGACAGAATGCAGCGGTGACGGGAGCTGGAATTTCGGAGATATGACAGATAAATCAACGACAGCACCATCAATCAGCTTTTGGTGTTGTGTCAGCCCAATAGTGTAAGCACCGATTTAGCGCACCAGCAAACAACTGGTCCAAGCTGTTGTCGACAAAATGCGCAGCCTGTATTGGAAGCCGCACAGCTTCCAACCAACGGAATTTGGTCTGTAAAACAATGTTGAACAAGATAACGAACTGGGACAACTGACTGCACGCTCTAAATCACTTCAGAGCAAAGTCCAGAACCTGCAATATTTTTGAAGGGCCGCATAACAGCTTTTTCAAATGGAGAAATGATGATATACTCGGCTATGTGCAAGGGCCTAGTAAAATTGAAAAATGGCGACAAAGAGGTGACGGTAAAGTATGTGGGAATGAATTAAAGAATAGTATACATCCGCTGATAAAGAGACATCAAAGCCCCGAAAGGAAACTCACTTTACGGTTCACATAAATGGCGTCCGAGTACCGGTAGGTGAAGAAGACTCGACAGTTGTCATCGGTGTAAATGATGCACAGATTTGAGTCATCTTTTTGTTCATTGTTATCCATAAGTTTGACTCGAGCCGTGTCAATCACTGTGCCGTTGCAAGCGGAGCTGCAGGTAACCGCGGCCGCTGCATACTCAGGAGATGCGTACACTACATCCTCGCCAAGCTGCGTTACTGGTGTCAAGGTAGAGGCTGATTGTGGACCGATTTCCCTTGACTCGGCCTTTTCAAACTCTTTGATGAGTGAGTCACGAAGACAGAGGACACATTTCTCCACATCCCGATCCGTACACAGGGCAGATTCGCCGCCTTGGATTTCATTGCAAAGATGCCCGGTGTAACCGCTGTTGCAAAAGCACTGGCCACAATCACAGACTCCTCGGCCGGAGCAACGAGGACCCTGATGACATGTATGCAGAGGGCAACCAGATAGAAAAATGACTAGAGCCAAATTAGAACGACGGAGTAGACAATACAACACCGGGGTGAAAAGCTATCACTGAACGTTGAACTACTTGCTATCTCCTCTCCGAGGTGACGGACCACATACTAGGTAATTCACCTAGGTGCGAATGATCGAACATCGGTGAAAAAAGGTAAAACAGCTTGCTGACGGACGACAATGAGGTTACGGACAGCACAATGAACCGGAGACGGTCACAAAGTTAATCGAGAACCGTATTAGAAAGGAGTACGAATCGGAACCTAATGTGATCAACCAGGAGTCGCGTATGAAATCGATGTGGATTGTTTGGGATCGCAATGTTAATTGCAGGTTCGTAATCTCTTGCCGTTAAGAAGCAATGTTCATGCAACGTCCGCAAACGGATCGCTTGGTCGAACAAGCTTCGTCAACTGTGGATTTCATGTTACCTATTTCTGGGTCCTTGGGTCCATATAAATTGATCAATTATAACGCAGGCACCGAAACTAAACATCCTGTTACAATTCCTTTAAGCGAACGATCGCCAACAAGGAGTGACCAGAGTTCACCAATAAATTGTGACTTTTGATATAACTGCATGATTGCTTTACTAAAAAAGAACCATCCACGTGAAATAATAGGCGAACATAAGACGTACATTGCCGAGTAAACAACCTGTGACAGCGTTAGTGTCGAGCACAAACAAGTCAGCGACGATGCATGCGGGAAACGTGAGATTAGGTTTGTCACTATTCCTGCCAACCGACAATACAATGCAATGTTCTCCCAAAAACGAACGAAAAGTAAATGGTGTTTAGGATCAGGCCACTAGACAAGTGACTTGGAGCAGCAGTGGTGGGGGACACTTGTCCTACATCGTGACAGCTATGCGATGTAGCGTAATACGCACGAACGAAGCGAAGTGGTGATAAAACCAACAGCTACAATGCCTGTGCTTCGTTTCACAATTCGTGGTAGTCTGAAAGAGAGAAATGCATCAGCAGTACACCGGCACACCGTGCGGGTGCATCGCTGACAAGCGATCATCACCGGTCGCGCGGAGGTTGAGTATACCGCGAGGTCGCCCGCGACTATGCGGATTCGAACCGGCGACCTCAAGATTACAATGCAAGCGCGCAATCATTTCGGCCACCGACCGGCAGTGCGAACAAGTTAACAAGTGAGTAATCAACATGTAGTTTGCGGGGCCGTCGAATGGAGGATGTGGTGTACCAGTGCATTAAATTCTTCAACGTACAGGTTACTTAACACGCACACACACACACATATGGTTGCCGTTGCAGAGTATACTAGTTTTCGGATGATAATTAATGGCTGCGCTGCAGCTGTGAAAATGGTTCACTGCTACAGCTGTTTCAAACAGAGCGCATAACCCTTAAAGACGGACTATGAAATACAGGAACGAAATACACATTATTGGCAAAGATCAAGAGTGAACACTGTGTGAACGCACTAATTCAAGGAGACATTGTTTGGTGACGTCTCACAGAACGCTAATGGTGACTGACGTACATCTTGGTAGAATACGGCAATTCGGCTGCCAGCTATTATATTTGGCTGCCCTGGTGTGAGAAAAGGCTGCAATATGGATGAAACCGAGAGATCACCAAGCTGTTGGTGCGACACGGCGCTAAGAGATGCAGTATGGCCTAGTGACACCACTACAATTAGTCGGAAGGGTGCATGCACAATAAGATGTCCTGAAGGATATAAGCGCTAAATTTTATGCTATATCGAAGTTGGGTGGAGATATTTGGAAAACAGATCTGCACGGTACATCAGGTAGCCGGTAAGACAGTAGACACATCAAATTACCCGCCGTTCGGAAGTGACGCGGCACAGATGCACTCAAACGGTTTGCATGAAACCGCACAAGGATATCGGTGCCAATCACTGCCGAGAGAGACACAAATTGTGCAAATCATGAGCCAAGTCCCGATATCACGTCACGAGTCAGGATGAAGTGAATCAACAATAGTCGGGGAGCACATGGCAAAAAAAGGATCAAAATCACTGACCGATGGATTGTTGGGGTCGATACACTGCTTCTCACTCTCCATGCAATCACAACGGTCCCCAGTGTAACCGGGTTTGCAAACACATGTCCCATCGCATTGGCACACACCGCGCTGTGGTCCACCGCACACCTGGTTGTCATCCGAGGCCCGCTTGCATCCGTGGCGATCGCATTCGCAAAATTCGCCCTCATAGCGAGCCAGATTGCATTTGCACTTGCCACAAATGCACCGCCCACGACCACCGGAACAAGGCTGTCGAAATGATGAAGCGGAACGAATCGAGGATCAATGCATACTTCGAAGCGTTGTATGAGAAGATTAGGCAACACGGTCATCGTCAACAACGACAGTGGTACATCGGATTTCCAGCTGATGCCTCGTTAGCATACCATCGTAGTTTGTGTACTAGTAAGAAAGAATAGTAATATAGGAAAGAGGGTTAATGCAGGAACTACATGTATTAGACCAAGGATGTCCAAAGTCCGGCCGGCGTTAGCAGTTCAACTGGCCCGCAGCCTCATCATGAAATAATAAATTTAGACTTGGACTTCTTTCGTACATGTGTAATTTTTGTCATTATCTTAATATCAGACTGCATATGGCCCGACATATTTTTACCTAACATGTCCTCCTTACAAAAGTTTGGACACCTCTGTATCAGACAAACATTCAGGACAGCCGACTAAACCCACCAAACAACGCACGATGATGAAAAACCAGTTTTCATGCGAATATAAGGTTGCCGAATTTTCATTGGCCTTTTGGTACCTCATGTTACAATTAATCCCGTATGGCGTGACAGACACCTTAAACATGAAGTCCGGTTAAGAGAGGAGAGGAAACGCACCACTGGTGCAAGTTACGGGCCCAAAACAAGTCGATTCTGCTGTGGAACCCGAGATGAATGTACAAGATGACCGCTGTAGTCGTTAATCGCTTCATTTCCAAACATCAGGAGTAAACGAATGACGTTCTCTAGACTCGTAGCATCCAACATCGGGTTAAAAAAGCAAGGCACTACTCGGTAGGCGGTGACCGGGTATATATATCGTGCGCCAAAGACCAACGCTTAACAGTCAGGAAGTATGCATATTTCGCATATTTCGTCGACTATATCACCTTTAAAGAATGCGATTCGTTTTAGAGGTCTAACGAATGCGAATCGATATGGGATAAAACACTAACACGGTAGGAAAAAAACCGTATCAAGCAGGGCTTTGGAACAGAATCCAGCAATTAAATACAACCTGATCAATGGGTCTCAAGGAATGATAGACAATAATAATAATAATAATAATAATAATAATAATAATAATGTGTCAGCTGTACACCGTAACGGTGCATCGCTGCCGTGCGACCACCACCAGTCGCACGCAAACTGGGGATACCGCGAGGACGCCCACTCCTACGCGGATTCGAACAGGCGCCGCAAGAATGAGAATCGATTTCAAATGACGATTCCTACTATGGCGTGTGTTTGTCTCTCTGTACCAAAAAACACTTGACAGATACCACAGTGATACAGTTATTCACAATTCAAACAGGTTGACTAAAACGCAGCGCGAAAGGTTAATATTGAGCAACACAAGTGATACCACTATTTCACAAATTCTCATGCGGGAAATGTGGAACTCCTCGACTACGTCCAAAGGATGTCGGTGCCGAAAGTGCAGTCGACAACTGAGTTAGTATTGCTTCCTATCTGTTACCAACTGCTATGGTTTGAGTCATGTTTCGACGTGAGCGCGAACGTCTGCAAATGGTCTGGGGTTCGGGCTTGACTTTTCCAGATATTGGCACATCACGAACTTGCACCGATGATTCGCTGGCATGCAACAGTAACCAAATGTATGTGGCTTAGGATAGTGCTGGGGCGGAAAAATGCGTACACAATCAGGGATTCGGAAGCGGAGCGCAAAACTTGTAACGGAAAGAATGAGCACTATCTGGGCCAGGTTCATTCAAACAGCAACGTGAATTGCACAGGAAGCATGACCCTCATACGAGCGAAAGTTCAGTGGAAATCAGCTTACAACTGAAAAAGGAACTAGAATTAGGAGGGGTGATAAAATGAGTCAGAGTTGCAGACGGTAGATAAAACAAAAAAGGAGGAAAGTTCAAAAATTAAGGAAAGCGAGTGAAACTAATTACTGAAGCAGTCATGGCCAGTTCTTGAATACCGGGGACAGTGAACAAAGCCAAGCTTCCAAGGACCAGTGTGGAGAATTTGTTAGACTAGCGACATGCGCACGTCGATATTTTGCACTCGGAATCAACCAATTACTCGAAAATTGGAGAAACGTGACTGTCAGTCACAACCGGAAACAACCACCTCTAAGACAAACTGCGAACAGCGCGCCCCAGTGCCATCATATAATGCGTTGGTAGAAGCGGAAATAAACTGTTAAATTCACACGTAAAGTACTACAATACATCACCAGCTGTAAGATGCACACGAGCAACGATCGCAGCTGTGGTGCACCAGTAAGGCGAAAAATCGATAAACCGAAGTGGGCAACACACATATCTGTTGCCACGACAACGAGTGGCATTAAGAGCTGGGCCACATGACTTCATTGGAGCCATCGATGCTTACGGGTGAACAGACGGGCAAATTGCTCTCACAAGAAACAAAAATACGGAGGACTACATAGAGATAAAGAAGCGTGCCTAAAAGAGATGACAGAGAGGTAGCAACGATTAATGTAAAGCATAGCTGGAAGCAAAGTAAGATTGTCTTAGTTTCCGTTAATAAGAGAACAATTAATGACAACTGACGGTCGTGTACTGCGCTTATCGAATGAACACTATTCACAGCAATTGCTTTCTCCATGAAAGCTTCGATCGGTGACGTTGCACAGGAGGCAAACAATGATGCACGCCCCGAGTTTAATTATCAGATTGGAAAAATGAACAGAATTCAAGAGACCGCCTTGTGGAGTTGAGAGAGTGACACAAATTAAGGTACCGCACTAGGTGCGCGGCGAATAAGCACAATGCAATCAGACTGATGAGCAGTAAACGAGAGATACATGTTTGACAACGAGACACAAGTTCCGGAGCTTAAGATAAAATCGCATGGCAAGTAAGGCGATATCCTGGTGTATTACTCTAATAAATCCCTAGTTCATATTGCCAATGCCACAACAATAATAAAAAGCAAAATATACCGTCGCTCACTCGCGTCGATAGTGTCTAGAAAACAAAAACTAAAAGGTCACACAATATAAGTGAAATTCGTTGGTTTCAAATCATCATTAGGGTCCTCCTGATCTGCCACATGGTTCCGTAACTGAAACGGTGAGAAAATAGACCACAAGCAACTCTAAATACTTCGCAACTAGAATGGAAAACAGGCCACAGACCTGCAGAATACCGGCAACTTAGTTCCTAATCTCGATACTCGATAGTGTGTAGGGAATGCAATTCCAGTTAGAGACCGATAGGAGAAGGATGTGGGGCAAATTCATGCAAAAGCCAGATAGGTAGCTCCGCACGTTGGATGAGAGAACAAGCTTACATAAGTTATTTTGCTAAAATCAACTGCAGTGTGATACAAAAAACAACATTTCAACAGGATTTTCTGAATTCAGACATTTCGGGCATTCTCATCAGCTTTTAACATACAGTCCGTGGGAAATGGTGTTGCGTTTAAAAAGAAACAAAGTTCAAGGTGATTCAATTTAAATTTGAAACGAGCGAAAGAAAAATTACCAAGACAAAGTGAGACTGGTCAGAGACTGGTCTGTTTGTATAAATTAGGTTTCAGCCGCCGAATTGCAACAACATAAATCCATCAGATAATTCAATGTGCGAAATACATCTGCAGGGAGGCGTTTCTTAAGAAATTTCATGTAGATTTTCCCTTGACAAATTTTAAGATAGCAAGAAGGAACAACATTACAACAGGATATTCCGAATTCAGATATTTCGGGCATTCTCATCAGCTGTTAACATACAATCCGTGGAAAATAGTGTTGCGTTTAAAAAGAAACAACGTTCAAGGTCATTCACTTTGTAAGCGAAAACGCCGCTGTTACGTAGTCTTTTCCAGTGGAAAGTTCGCGAACAACGAGCACACGTCATAATAAACCATGTATGGCATTGTATTGTGTTGGTAGAAACGCAGTCGGCAATCAAACAAGATATTTTGAGCGCTATGTCACCGGGGTGCTTCAACGAACAGAATCCGATGGATCCTGAGAAATACGTGCTCAACTGGTCTACTGTCTCAATATGTCATTAGGATTCAATTTTTCAGTGCCACCCAAGAAGCGACAGAATAGGATTTGAAGTTCGAAAACTTGTATGACCAACTGTCCAGCTTGACTCGAGCCATCGGCGACGCATGCGGTTTGTTTAAAGCCAAGGCGGTGGATTTAACTAACCAATTCTGTTACTGAGACCGAAAAATGCAGAGTCCTAGGGAAAGATCACAGGGAATCGCTGATGAACCTGCACCGATATGGAAACGTAGTAATACTGAAATCTGACAAGGGAGAAGGAATAGTCCTAATGGATAAATAAGACTATATCCACACACAAAAATGCAGTCGATTCTTATAGACACTAGCCACTTCACTCGAGAATCGACAGGTCGTGACAAACCGAGCAAGTTGAAAAGCAAATAGTTAATGAACTGAAAAAGCTATTGAAAGCTGTATTGATTGACGTTAAAATCATGACACAACTCCGCCTCCGCGGATCTCAGATACCACATACGTATGGGTTACAAAGACTCATAAAGAAAACATCCCCCTGCGGCCGATCGTCTCAATGATAAACGCGCCGTATCAGAAACTGGCACGATGGCTAGCTTTGGCTTATCGAGCCTATCTGACGTGAGCTTACTGGATACACTATCAAAGATACATTCGAATTCGTCGACAAAATACGAGGCTGAAACATAGTAAGGAAATATATGGTTTCTTATGACGTGTGCTCGTTGTTCACCAACGTTCCACTGGAAGAGACATTAGATCTTATCGGCGTCCACGCTGACAGTGGGATTTCAGGCGCAGCATCTTAATTCACTGTTGAGATTGTTCAGTTCCAATTTGATGGAACAATCTATCGTCAGATAGATGGTGTGGTCATGAGCGGCCCACTTGCTCCAGTCCTGGCTGATATTTTCATCGGCCACTTGGAGAACACCGCAGTACGTGATGGCATACAAAATGTGCATGTGTACTGCAGATACATTGACAACACGTTTGTCGTGGTTGATAATGCTAGGCAGGCAATGCACTTACTCGATGTTCCAAATGCGTACCACCCTGCAGTCGAATTCACGGTGGAAAGTGAAATGGATAACAAGTCCCAATTTGGATGTAAAGCTAGAGAGGACTCCGGGCGGTACACTCACTCGATCCGTGTATCGCAAGCCCAGTTGGTCAGGACAGTACCTAAATATAAACAGTTTTTGTCCTATACACTATAAATGACCGTTGGTTCGCACCATCTTAGCGAGAGCTCGTAATATTTGCTCTGAGGATACTATCAGCAGTGAGCTGGAGCACGTATCCTCAGCATTACAGGAAAACGGATACCCTAAGAGATTTGTAGCACGATACGCAAACACAGAAAACAAAGAAAAAGGAATAATTGATGTCCCCAAGAAAAGTGTTTATTACACTGCCGTTAAAAGGGGATCAAAATGATAGAAGATTCCGGCACCGTCTCCGCCAGATGATAAAGAAGTGTTATTATGCGGCCGAACTTGTGCTACTGCACCAAGGAAGGAAGCTGCTATGTAAACCCAACCTTGACAAGCCAGACCCTCTAGTTACCACCCCATGTGTTTACCTCTCCATTGTACTTGTGGTGGCAAGAACGTGGCCCGAACATAGAGAAGGCTGTCAACCAGGTTTTCTGAGCACATTCCATGTAATATGGTCGCGAACGGTCTCAAGCTGCCAGCAAGCTCCATTGTCCAACACATCTTAGACTGCTCCGTATGTCAAAACCCCCGCGAATTGTTCAGGATACTTAACCGAGAGAGCAATCCTCGCCTGCTTCAGTTTGCTGAAGCTTCAGCAATTCGGCGGCTGAAACCTAATTTTTATACAAACAGACTGAGTTTATGGGTAGTCTCACTTTGTCTTGGTAATTTTCCTTTCGCTTGTTTCAAATTTAAATTGAATCCCCTTGAAGCCTTTGTTTCTTTTTAAACGCAACACCATTTTCCACGGATTGCATGTTAACAGCTGATGAGAATGCCTGAAATATCTGAGTTGAGAGTATCCTGTTGAAATGCTGCTATTTCTTGCTATCATAAAATTTATCAAGGGAAAATCCTGCATGAAATCACTTCGATGTGTTCAGCGAAGTGAAACTAGGTTAGAAAAGACGTTTATGCACGAAATTAATGTTATAAGTTCAACACATGTGTGTGACGTTTGAACAATCTGCAAACAACAAAGAGCAGTACATTCGCACATCACAGAAACTCCAGTCGGAAAACGTTTTCTATTCATACGAATGCTTCACGAAACGTGATTGGTGGAATTGTAAAAGCCTCTGATCTTAATGGATCAGCTTGGGTTCTTGGTGAACAGCGTTTCCAAGTGAGCCCGAGGATCCCCACTAAACGCAATTTCAATCAAGTGAAGACTATCCGATGATTATGTGTTCAGAATATGCCTATTCTCTATGCGCAAAGGTCACATCGCGAGCGATCAACCTTTTGCTCATAGCACCAAGCTGTGACAAGTGATCATGGAGCTGGGCGAAAACACAGTCTCCGCACAAGGATCGAGCTTAGAATCCTGGAGACCAAAAGCAGAAATTTCACGTAGGGAGATAAAATCGTTAGAAACTCGAATAGCAATAAGTATGGGGCATATGAGCAGTTACTGGAAAGGAAAGAACATTCGCCTCAGTCTAGTGTATAGGATGGAAAGCCGGTATGCCAAATTCACTATGAGTTTCGTTAATAAGACCAAGAAGAAGGTCGGCACACGCATTAGCCAGTTGGAGAGAGGAGCACAGCTGGCAAATATCCAGTTCACCTGTGTGTGAATTTTTTCACCATGAATAGTATAAAACACGCATAAGTAATGAAACATGCGCCGGACACATGGTGTCAACCTACTAGACAAGACGCAGTAACAACGCAATTGTTTGTCACACGTGTGAAATAGATCATCCAAAACAAAAACATCTGGACAGAGGGGGCGCGGTATGGTTGCCGAAATCAGAGCACGTATTATTAAGCTGTTGACGTTACAAACACTTCTGCATCGACCTCATGGAATCGGGAAGGTGGGGACATATCGGAGTCCAAAAGATAGGACATGAGCACTTCAATTCTCCGAGAAAGTAACCGCTCCACATGATCTAAAAAACATTCAAAGCAAGAGCAATGCAACCCGGAAAGAGGCAAATTGGTCACGCTGAGAAGTAGCTTTCGTACTCCGGACGTACCTCTTTCGCTCCCTCTTGGGTGCACTGTGCAATCATGGCCGCCTCACCACCTGCGCTCGTCTCAGCAGAGCATTCACAAAAGTCTCCGGAGAATCCAGATTGGCAATGGCATGAACCGCAATGCAGATATCCCCGTGATTGACACCGTGTTGCAGGTGGAGCAGAGTAATCCGGACGCGGCAGCTGCTGGCACGTGGGACAATCGCAGGCAGACTCCACTTCAAGAAGAGCCTGTTGGTCGGGAAAGCATGCGATCCGTGAATTCAGAAAAAGGGATGGACGGCTAAAAAGGCAACTCAGATACACACTCGTGACTCATCTTTCACAAGTGAAGGTGAGTAGGATACTATCAAACATGAAGTGATGCACAGAGTTTGACGTTGAACGACAGTGCGTAATTCTAATGATGTACGTAATGAAGTATCTGGGCGAAATCGATAGCTATTGGTGAAGATATATGGAAATTGGATTGCACATTTTGTCCGGTAGTATTATGGAGAGTCAAAGCTGTTCTACTTCCCCCGATCACTTGCATCAGCAAGCAAAGCCGGTACACAGAAGGAAAGAGAAAGAAACGGGTAGCAAGAGCTAAGACGAGGTTGGTTCCATCGCCGAGTGGATAAAAGAAGGTGTATTAGCCAAGTAACAAAAGATTGATCCGCTTCAGCTAAGTAACTATGATCCGGGTCTGGAAATGCGGCGAATCCGGTTGCTACGACTCACGTTTCCAGAGTAAGCAAGAATAACAACGGCGAAAATATGATGTCGAATGCAAGCAAAGTATGCGAAGAAATGAGTAAAATTAATCGGGGTGGACAGTAGCAGCTAGATGCAAGGGGCATCACTAACTGTACGAATGTGCCATGTCCGATAGTCTCCCACCACTAAAGTGGACCACCCCGAGACCCGCATCCAAGCATACGGCATGCTCTAGCTTGAACAGGTCTCTTGGGCAATTTGTTCACGCCTCTATGTCGCATCATTGACTGGTCACCTCGCCATTTCGCTCAACTTGGTGCAGCGACAGCATATGATGCACACAGAGCAAGTTGATCAACGGGTATACGGAAGACAGGACCTAACCAACGTAGGCTATTAAGTTGCAACGAGATTTATCCTTTTTCCTTGTGAAAAAAGCTAAGTCCCGTACCAAAGTATAAACATACACCATCATCATCATCATCACGAATGTCATAACCAAAAATATGCCGGCATTTTACAGCGCTATGCTCGCTCTCATGAAGCCAATGGAAGGGGGTCGATATCGCCCGTATAAGCTGGTTAAAGGCAGATAAGATTACAGAGCACGCCAACAAGGTGGCTTGTGAAATGTCTAAAACGAACCGCAGTACTTATAACGCTTGATGTTCCACGGTATGCTGCATCCTTGCGCATACGACTGCACCGTTCAGTGCGACGAGTATGCTGTAGGCACCGATGCAGGAACGTAAAGAACACAACAAGAATTTGGATAGAGCCAACTAGATGAAAACATTACATAAAGAGCAGAACATCCTCTTGGATAGAACAGCAGAGGAAACATTATCTATGTCGCAGATGGAGAAAGTCTGGGGTTTCGAAACGCATAGGCTCATCTAAAGTTGCAAATCACTCAGTACGTGTGAGTACACATGAAAACTAAAGATTTGCGCGTCCGGTGACAGGAAATACTCAGTGCGCACTGTTATCCATCGTGACTGATGAATAAGTGGACGGATGTAACAGTAGTCTTTGCTGGGTCTTGCTCAACTAACCACGAAATGCTTCCACAAACAAACAGCCAATCAGTTAGATTGTCACAGCTACAATGGCAGCTACTCCATAGGTTACTAATTGTAGACCTTCTCGTTTATCTAAGATACCGTCGCTAACGCAGTGGTAGTTGAAAACGCTGAGTGGTAATTAATGTGCCAAGTATACAATGGAATGCTAGCAGCCTGTGAGCTGCTGTCGGTACGTAAGCGGATAACTAGAAACAGTAAAAGAGATCCGAAGACCCTTCGAATTATTTTCTTAAAGCAACAACTAAGGACCGGCATGCGACTGACTCTCCTGCATCAACAAAAGAACGTAGACCTTAATGCTATGCCAGAGGTTTTGATTCAACATATCGAGATTAGAATGCGTTCACTTTGCGTCTAAGGTAACTGCAAATAAGACCCTGCAGCCGGGGTTTGCAGCACCAGTAGATCATCATTCATCATTATACACGTCAGCTGGAGGTGGGAAACACCTCAGCTACTGTGCCGCAATACATAAAAGGAAAATAAATACAAAAGTTGCATGCCAGCTGAGCTACCAGCAACGGATAGGCATCGTTCCGGTAAGCTACCAGCCAGCTACTAGGCAAAAAGAAAAAAATTATTCTGTTTTACGCTAAGAAATGAGATCGTAGGTGGAGGGGAAGGCTAAAAGGGATGGGGAGGGACAAAGAAACTCACAGCAGGAACGCCACTGAGGTCGGCTCCTTGCCATGTCAGCAAGTGTATCCAGCCAAACGTGTTCACCGTCTTTTGGACCCCAACCAGGGAGCCTGACGCTCCAACCGAGGCCAGCTCCGAAGTGAGGGCCTTCATTCCTCTTGACCAAGTCATCGCTTGGCCACCCCTCCTCTTCTTCCATCCACATCCCCGGTGAGCAAACAACGCACGTCGTGGAAGTCGATGGGCTGGCATGCGCAACACGTGGCCCAGCCATCGGAGCCTGGTGCGTGAAATAACGGTGATGAGCGGTTCAGTTCCTTTTCCTGTGCCGTAAACAAGGCGTCGAACACGCTCGTTACTCACGCGGTGTTCCCACCAGATGTGAGCCAAACTGCGAAGGCACCGATGGTCGAACGTAACTAGCCTCTTCATGTCCGCCGATCTCAGGGGCCAGGTTTCGCAACCGTACAGTAAGGTCGAACGTACCGCTGCATTGTACACTCTACCCTTCAGGGCGAGAGTAATGTCGCGCCGCCGCCATAGGTGGCGAAGGTTAGCAAAAGCACTTCGAGCTTTTGCTATACGGTTCGTGATCTCGTCTTCGATCCCAAGGGTGCTGATACAACTTCCCAAGTAGTTGAATTCCGAACGACTTCTAGCTGATCCCCACCAAGGGTCAGCGCAGGAGGCGATCCCTGCCAATCTTGGAGGAACGCTTTGCATTTCGATGGTGCAAAGCAAAGCCCGAAGCGGCTGACAGCCAGTGCTAATCTGTCCAGCGCAGCTTGGCACGTCTGAGAGCTGTCACAGATGAGGGCAATGTCGTCTGCATACTCCAAGTCAAGAAGTCGTTCTCCTGGGAGTAGCTCCACACCTTCCAAGTCATGTCCTGTAAATGCAATCTCCATGACTTCGTCAATAGCGAAGTTGAAGAGGAAAGGTGACAGCGGGCATCCTTGTCTCACACCGCTGGAGATATTGAAGGGTGGCGACAGCTTGCCGTAAACCCTCACTCTGCCCGTGCTACGCGCGTATAATGCTCGGATAATATTTACATATTTCTCGGGCACACCTTTCCTGAGTAGACAATTCCAAAGGGCACATCGATCAACCGAATCGAAGGCACCTTTGATGTCGAGGAACACGACTACGGTGGGCCGCCAATATGTGTGACGGTGCTCCAACAACTGACGCAAAGTGAAGATGTGGTCAATGCAGCCACGACCCCGACGAAACCCGGCTTGCTCCTCACGAATATGGCTTTCACGAGCGCCAGTCAGTCTGTGAAGGATTATAGAGGCGAGTAATTTGGAGGCGATGGAGATCAGACTGATTCCTCTATGGCTGCCGCATTCCGATCGTGAGCCTCCCTTGAAAATTGGGACTATGACGGAGCGGCTCCAGTCGGTTGGGACAGTCTCCTGCTCCCACAGTTTCACTAGTAATTCATGTAAAGCATCAACAAGAGCAGAGCCTCCGAATTTGAAGAGGGCTGGAGGAAGATCATCTGGTCCCGCGGCTTTGTTCAACTTCAACAGTCCGATCTCACGTTCGACTTCTGAGCGAGAGGGTGGATCCAAAGGGACAGCCCACGGAGCAGGGCGATCACTGGCCGGCGAAGAATCGAACAATTCTAGCCGATTAAATTGCTTTTCAAAATGCTCAGCCCAACGCTCCAAACGTTTTGACAAATTGTGGATAGGCTGTCCACTCTCGTCACGTATAGTTTCACTAACACCAGGTCTCCTGTTGCCCGTTTCCCGTATCAGACGGAATAACTTACGATGGTTGCCAAGGGCAGCGGCCACTTCCATCTCTGACGCACGATGAGACCACCAAGATTCGCGGTCTCTCTTCAGGCTAGCACGAAGTCTTGCCGGAGCTCTTTGCGAGTTTCATTGTGTTCGCTTCCAGCCGGGATATGCCGGCGAGCATCGATAAGTTCCAGAGACTGCGAAGAGACCCAATAACCATGTTGGCTATTAGACATACCACATGAGGATTTGCCTGCTGCTAGTAAGGTCTGGTGAACATGTGACCAGTGACCATCAATTGTCTCCAGTGAGCGCTTACTCAACTCGCATGTCAGCGTACTTCGATACGCATTCAGAACAGCTGGCTTTGTCAGTTGGCTGGTGTCAATGCGCTCACAGCGTCGTCGTGGGCGTCCGCCAAAACGCATCCGCATGTCAGCACATACAAGTGCATGATCGGTGTCCACACATGTGCTCCAAACCGAGCGACAGTTCTGGACGCAGCCTCTCCAGCGGTAACTTATCGCAATGTGATCGATCTGCGTCCAAGGCTGGTTCGAGGCTGGTGGGCGCCAAGTCACCCTCCGGCGGGTGCTGTGTCGGAAGTTAGTGCTCGCAAGAAATAAGCGAGCATCTTCACACAAATGAAGTAACCGCTCACCGTTATCATTACGGGAGCCTACACCGTGCTGACCGCCCAAATGCATTTCATCAGTGGACAACTTTCCAACTTGTGCGTTCAGATCCCCAGCCAGCACAACAGTGTCCGTGCTTCTTCTGTGGCGAAGGAGCTGGGTCAGTTGGCGGTAAAAGTCGTTCTTTACCGAATCATCGCTACAGTTTGTGGGTGCGTAGGCAGCGATGACGAATAGACACCTGTTAGTCCCGCGCGACTTCGAAGCTTTGAACGAGCCAGCCAATCGGACCGCACACATCCGGCTACTGATTGGAATCCAATCAACCAGAGCAGCTTCAGCCCGGGGACTCTGGGCAATGCCAACACCAGCTTGGCCGGTGCTCGAAGCTGCATCGTCACCGGATAGGCGCAATGAGAAAACACTGCTTGCGTCACCTGAAGGGGATCGCAGAGTGAGCACAGAGCTCGAGTCTTGCAGGCGGGTCTCCGATAAGCAGCAGATGTCGATCGAGAGGGTCTCCAATGTTCGGGCAAGTGCTGCCTGTTGACCGATCTGTAGTAATGTGCGTACATTGAGGCATGCCAATCTGAAGGAGGATCGAGGGCTCCAAATGGAAGCCGATGAACTGGAATGGACCGCTTGATTGGACATGGGCTTGTCGACAGGAGAGGAGTGACGCTCCGCGTTCACATGTGAGTTGAAATTAGAAGATAAATGCCTAGCAAAGCATGTTGAGGAGGGCCAAGAATCGGGGGTTGAAAACTGGGGGGATAAAGTGAAGTTGGAACGGGACGGTAAGAGTGAAAAAGCGTAAGAGGGGAATAAGAAGACGGGAAGGCTTGAGCAGTAGCATCCAAACCCCTATCCACCCTGCTCGATGCAGCAGATAGGGCACCGTTGATTATCCTCTGCGGTGGCCAGAACATCAAGAAATTGTTTGAGGAAAGATTCATTGTATTGCGTGGGCAGGATACTTTCAGGTTGCCCAGGCCTAGACAGGAGAACGATTAGGGTTCTCAACCAAAGCCTTTGGTTCAAAAACCTGACCGCAAGGCAGCGGGTTTGGCGTTGGCCTACAATGAGCCCGTTTTAAGGAATAAGTTGCCACCCTCATTCTAACCCCCAACCTGGAGGACCAGGAGGCTGAGTTTGTCTGGCCTCTAACCATTGACCAATCTGGTATGAGTGGCTCTGAAGGTGCAAAAGCACTACCCAGCATAGTTCAATGGATCGCTGAGGCACACAAACCATCGCACCACGGTAAGGTTCAGTCTCATTGTAGCACCAGTAGAAATACAGGAGTAAGAGATTTTACCGCAGCCTCTGCAAGTCTGTAGGCTTCAATGTTTGGTCTCACTAAATAGAAATGCAGACAACGTTTAAAAGCACAGATGGACAAAGTAGGCACAAAGATGAGTGATGGGCGTCAAGGGTTCCGCATGGGGTAAATAAGTGAATCTCGTTGACACTGCAGGACAAATGACATTTTCAACTTGCACGTAGGAACCGTGAAGACTGGGATAACGACGGGGTACGCAAACCCACAAGAGCTTGTGGATAAGCATAGCTTCCATTTGTAGCCGATATCAGTGAAATGAAATTCGAGTCTTCATTGGAGGGTTTTATACACGCAGTGCAGAACACGTGATACTCGGTTCGGGATGAGGAAGAGAAAGGCTAGCGAAGACCATGCTCAACTCGCAGTATCAAAATAGAAACAGTTCATTAAAAAATTATATCAAGTTTTGTACGAATAATGCCAGTATATCTATCATGTGACAGACCAGCAAATCGCACCAAATGGATGCGGCAGGCACGAAGTGCCACAGACAGCGCATTTTCCCACGGAAACATCCGCAGGTGACAATGCAGCTGACGCCCAAACGCCCACGCGTTTTGGCTACGTTGCGGAAACAGTTCAACTCCAAGATAGACCACATGGAGTATGCATCATAAGAGCAACGGATAAACTGTGACGCGCGTAGTGCCAAGAACATTTGATCAGCCCAATTGTCTGTGCAATTTAGTTTCAGCGGGAGTGGTTGGTGCACCTGCGTGGGTGTTTGGGTGTGCGATAAAACCGAAATGTTTACTGGATGCTGTGGCTTGAACGAGGATAATATTTCGGTGTTGATTGGAGCGAAGTAGTCGGAAAGTAATATTATGCCTACGAACTGCTAGTACCTGATGTCTGTGTAGACAACAACAGAACAGAACTATAAACGAATAAGTCCACTGAAATGTCTGTGACGATGGTGCCCATTGCACACACACCCAGTATCTACTCTCAGTATCTAGCTTGGAATGGCACAAAAACCCAGACGCCTAACTTGGAAGTGCCAAATGAGGATTGTGAATGGATATTGCAGTTCCATCTTGATAACGGACAGGCTACAGTCACCTCGTGTACCCCTGTAGCTCATCTGCTTTGGAACAGTGATGGCCTAAGGCCACTCCATGATAGCAAAGCTCTTGATGGTGATAGTGAAACGAGTCACGAGCATGAAATGTGGTTCTAATGAGAGAGAAGAGCACGAGCAATCTAACCAAGGGCTCACTAGTTCCCGGTCTCATTTTATGCTCAATATGAATGTCAAAACAGCTGAATGATAAATTGTGAGCAAATTTGAATGCGCAAGACAAGACAAAGTTCTGCTGTCTGGGCCATCATTCGGCGACATGTAACGCATCTCTGATCTGCGACCCAAATTTCATCTTTTCACATTGGTTATTCAAAGTACCAAGATCAGCATTGCTAGAGGCAGTACACCAGAACTCTGTATCGACGCTTCACTTCCACACAAAACAGAGTGCAAGAGAAGCAAGCAGAGAGATCGAAAACGCACTTAGCCTCTTCCTTCAAGCACAGTCTCATCACCCATAGATAATATGAAACAAGGCATAATTCTACAACTGTTTCGCCTTTGTTGTTGTTGCTTTTAGACTTTTTTTTACTACCATGTAGTTAAATTGTATTGCTTCACAATAGCTGAGATGTTCCTCACCACCAGCTAACGTGCAGAATGATAATGGTGATGATGCGGTCACGAAAAGTTAGCTAAAATGCAAAAGTATGGTGGCATCGGTTTCCAGTGTCCTGCGTCATAGACAATCGTAAAGCACAGATAATTCCGCACCACACAGAAAGGCAATGCGTCTGGAATACGATAATAAACAATCCAATGGAGCCTATCGCGGGCCGTTTTACTATACAAAAGATAGGTCATATGGAACCTGAGACGAATGAACATCATCCAATCTACCCAATCTGGCCGCCTCATGCCATCAAAAATAAGGTAGACGAAAGTTAGTACTTCCGATCATACCGCAAACAGGTACACATAACAAGCAACGGATTCAGCCTTACTTGTTGATCTAACAAGTCAACCCGATCACTATCATATTTATAAACGTCTATAATCACTCATCCTTGCGGGTGCACTGGCGCATCTGACGCCAGTGATGTACCTTAAGCAACGACAGTCAAGAGTAGAAAGGCACCCAAAATTCTCAGACAGATGGGGTTCGCTGCCGTAGACATGAATGATACCCACAGGGGTTCGTCCACGCGGCCCCTAAGTTGTGAAGGTCATTTCCATTTGAAGCATCCCTAGTCACGTTGTTCCTTTGGTCACAGTCCTGAAGAAAACATGGTACCAGATTCGGAACTCGACACTGAAAAGCAACGTGACACCAGTTCAGTAGATAACAAAACAGGAATTCTGGGGCATTTAACCACAGGGGGTCAGGTGGGTTTGATACAAAGAAAAGGGCTGACAGTATAGCTTGTGACAACAAGACATCGAATTTTTGATGTCAAAAGCGAGATATCACTGGCAAAGCATCAACAGTGGTTGCGCCTTTATGTCTCAACCAATTCCGGCAACTATGTGGGGGGGGGGGGATAGAAGAATGGTCATCCGATCCGAGGAGTACTGGTAGTCAGCTCGGAATCCAACAAACACCACCTGAGACTCGTCGCAAAAGCATTGTATCTGCTGATGCAATCTAAAACGATTATCACAAAGTTTGAAACTCACGGTCACTAGAATGTCTACTCAAGTCGTGCATCCGATTGCGCAACTGGCACTGTTGTGAGGATGAGTTTCGAAAAAGAAAACCCGAACAGTGTACGATAGTAATTACTTTCGAACAAGTTGCTTTCTTCCTAGTCCCCTGGCTTCCAAATATGAGCATTCTCGTTATGAACGACTGCTCCGTTACATCCAGCACCAATTCTAACCGCCAACTAGGCTTTCCAGTAAAAGTATATGATGTAACTTCATAGTGTGTAAAAGAAGATTTAGCACAGGGGTACTATTACGTACGCTTCTTGACAGGGGCCTGTTGCGGGGCTTCTTAAGTCAGACGGATGGGCCGCATAGTTACTAGCAGGAATTCAAACGACAGTCCAACACGTTTCAGAAAAGGTAACCAGTAAGTTAACCTAGCTTTTGAACTGACGGCCGCAAGGCAGATGTACGCAAGCCCTAAGGTTCGCACTTCAAGTGCTAGTGCCTGAAAGAGATGGTTTCCATAGATGGATAGGATAGATTGATCCAAGAGATTGGCTGGAACGAGCCGACTGAGCAGCTACAGTGCGGAACCGAAACGTTATATTGGGAGCGTGTGGGCGAGGGGTGACGCCGATACAACAACGGATGAACGTGTGGAAAACAATTACGACTCCAACGATTACTTGATCATCCAGAGCGACCATCTTCAAGCCGACAGTCTTCCTTCCCGGAAAACATCTTTTTGGTTTTACGGAAATCTGATATTCAATGCGCCCACCGACCGGATGATCATCACACACTGTCTTCTTGCTAAACTCGTTCTCTAGATTGCATTTGGTGAGAATCTGAACCTGAAACAGAAAAGAAGAACGAATGACAGACCAGCAGTGGTGCACGTTAAAATAAAGTGTAGCGAAGAGAAAAGGTTAAACTAGGTTGGATGGGGTAAGCAAAACAGCGCAGAAGCCCAACCTTCTGGACAGTAAAGACATTTGACAGACATCGAAAGGGTCAATCGCACAAACGGTAAATGCAGAAATGACTCCTTATTTGATTGTGAAACAACAAGGAAGGTAAAACTTTACACTATCATCAGGAACGTTTGTGCTGTGTATTTGAGCAGACAATGAGTGAGAACCGAGTGAAATCTGATGAGTATTGTTGAAAATTTTATCAACAAATTAGGAATTAGACACCGAAAATCGCCTGAGACATCCGGCAGGGGAAGTTGGGATGGTGTGCTAAAGCCCGCTAAGAGCGCATCGGTAATATGCACGATAAAGGAGAATACGATGTGACGTGATCGGAATGATGGTAAGAAATTAGGAAGGAAGGAAACTGGTAAGGTCAAATGGCTGAATAGATTCTACGACAGTTGCTCTTGTGGTCGAAAAACCGAAGCGAAACAGGTCAATTTGACTGATGCCAGGCTTAAAAGTCCCCGCTAACCCGTCCATGATAGACAGCTCATGTGAGTGAAACACGAGTCGGACAGTTGGATTGATGAACTGCCATTAGACGGCCGGCCAGACCTGTTTTCAAATCTGCCTGCTGGTGTGATTGAGAACAGTCACAGAGCGCTTGAGACCTCAGAGGGGCCACGGTTGCTTGGACTGCAACACTCTCATATACAGTGCAAACTCAAGAGAATAAAGTTAGTTGGCTTGTAGATAACGGCCGATCTGATTTGCCACACGCGTCAATGAGTTACAGCCTGGGAAAGTTTAAGGGACTGATGCAACGGGTAATAGCTGCGTCGTAGTCCGTCCCACTGTAGAGAAATTCTGACCCTAAAGCTGGCACGAAGTTTGTGCACCTTGTCCGCTCCACCAAGGATTTGCAGTCCCAAAAAAGGTAATCGAGGTGGTGGACTCAGACGAGCAGGCACATTGTTAACGTCCGAACCGGGTGCAGTTACAAAGGACACATCATCCGGTGAAAAATTTGAGAACATGCCGATAACCCTGTGTTTCAGAAGCGACGGGAGCGACAACGCACCAAAATTACTGGAAACACTGGTGGCTCAAGCTGACTGTTCAATTCTATGTGTCCGCCGAACTTGGCAATCAGGTTGCAACCTGACTGAAATGACATAAGTCTTCTCAGCCCCGACACCGATACCCGCACAAGAGGAGTGAAGGGTCAACATCGTTACCCAAAACAGTAACATACATTAGTGAAGCCATAAGAGCAGTGGCTCAGCTGTTAGGCCTACCACAAAATACAAGTGAAAGGAACGAACCTGGCCGAATAACATATCACTAAAATGCACCGGTTGCATCGCAAAAAAGGGGGGATAAGCGCGCACAAGCTATCGAGAACCAACCGTACTACTTTAAAAGATGAACGATACCTGCAAGTTGATGTCCCTCCAGGCATTCACGCGACATGCTGCTTGTCAGGGAAATGTGTGGCCCGGTTTGAACTGGTGTCAGCGAGTACGTGGACATAAGGAAAGAGCGCGGCACAAAAATTGAGAAGCACTCCGCTTGGGTAGGTGTCTGACCGATTGCCGTCTGGCTTTGTGCCTGATTCCCTGTGCATTTGGAGGCGCACACGGTTCACAACTGATTTGAACTGGTGCGGATTCCTGTCACATACACAGGCGCCGAGATGTGTGCTAGGGTGGCGGCTCTGGCCTCTGATAGCGTGGGTGAGATAATCGGTCCGGACGCTCATTTGCACATTTATAACGGCTCGTTGATGGGCGCGATCCGAACTCAGATTAGATGGGTGACTCAATCGGTGTTCGAATACGCAGACCGACCTATTTCCCGAAAAACGCAGTTCGGCTTCCACATACCTCCCGTAGAGCAAACCATGAAGTCAATATCCATTCAGTAGTTCAAGGGTGAAATTGTCAATGTCATCACAACGCATCACAAAAAGCGCAGATGCCGAAGATTGGGCAATAGATGAGTGGCATAGAAAGGACAGAAATAATAATAATAACCATAATAAAAAATGAATAAAGTAGTAAAGCTAGACGAAATCGAATGGAAACAATTCAGCCACACAGAAGTGATGTAGAACGATGTATGCAGCTCCCTTGCGACATGATAGCTGAGGTGTTTTCCACCTGCAGCTAACGTGTACAATGATGATGTATGCAGTGCCCTACACTAATGCACAAATATGTGCGCCTCTAAGACTGTGAGAAGTGCACAGCGCTTGTCGAAAATGGTCATGTGCGAGAAAAACTGCGACTGTGAACGCAGAATATTCGAAGGATCTGAATATAACTCAAAGCTGCGCACTTCCAGTCACATATGTACCAGTTGTTCACCTCAATCAAAGGAGGCGATGCTTTTATCTGATGTAGTAAAGCAAAACGCCACACCGCCTCAGGCAACAACGACACGCGCAAAAGCTCTGTGCATTAACTAAATTGGCAAACAGTTTCAAGTGCACAGTCAGAGCGCGCTTTACTGGTCACGTGAAATTCTATCGAAAAGTTAAGTACAGGGAGGCTGGATCGCATGAGTGGCATGAGGCGGTGACAAGCGGATGGGTGTAGGTATCTAAGTTGCAACAGCTAGGCCCACGTATGAGTAGCTGAAGTACGATGGTTTGAGTGTTCAATCCCCCGGGATAGACGACCAACACATCAGTACGGAGTGAAAATGTTACATCAAGTCGACAATACATTTGGCACGCTGTACATGCGTGTAACCAGCTAAACGACATGACTGAGGTGGTGAAAAGGACAAACGACGCTTCAGTAGAGACCACACTGCCTAGCAGGGAAGATCGGAACATAATTCAGTATATTTGTCACTACAGGAGTTAAACTGATGTTATTATGAAAATGTTCTACCAGGACCGATTCACCCCATTAGGAGAATATACAGTTTATTACCGAATATAAGCCCGCCTATAGAGAAGCCGACAGTACAACTTGGCAACATCAAAGTTGTCCAAAGTCGTAAGTCCCTGTATTAGCCGACCCCTAAAAAATCAGCAAATGACAAACGAAATTTCGTACTCATGAGCAGGGGATTTCTATATAGATAATTGAGGTTCATCACAGCCAGCTTCCAAATCAGATAGCCGTCCACATGCCCGGAAAAGCACTAGACTGTAGTTTCAGCCTGTTGGGCATCATCAGTAGTGCGCATCCATCGGATCCAACAGGATTCGAACCCATGACCACCAGCGGCTTGCACCGCAAGTCAGCAGCTTATGCCACTGGGCTACGGGGGAAAGCTTCAGACAGTCATAATTTACAAGCTAACTGTGATATAGCGCGTATTATCCTCCACTGCTATGTAAGTTACAAACGTTGTAGAGGACATGGTTGGCCCCGAAAGACAAGAGATCATCACTACATGCTCTCACTTGAGTGAGTTCAAGTGAAACCTGCTCTACTATTGGTCAGTTGTGGTGACCATAATGTTATAATCGCTGTTAGTGAGGCGTAGAGCCGCCAAAACAGTTTCAATGCACCGGACATTGTACTGGCCAGACGTCAATTCACATGACAGCCGACAATATAGGGTCAGGTGAGAGGGTATCTCAGACAGTTCGCCTCGGAGAGACGGGGGCCTCGTGCATATGAACCACAGTAGAGAAGTGGGTGAAAGCGAAGTTCACGATCAGGAGTATGGGACGACATCGTTATTTTAAAGCACTCGATCGTTTGGCATAATATGTTTAATGGCTTCTGCTTCGCTGCCGCCATCCGTCGCGAACGTCAAATGTTCAACATACCGAGGATTTTCGACAAAACTTGACGTGTCCAGTTATAGGCACTTCGAATTCCCCTCTAGAATACCGTCCGTCACTAGCGGATGGTGCTAAGGGGAGATAAGCGCAGTAGTGGGCGGTGAGTTGCTGTGTGGAGTTGCATGTGTCTTTTTTCAAATTCCGTATAGCCTTTGCAGAAGCAAATCCCGCTCTACGGAAACGAAAAAGTGTCTAAAAATCAGCGGTTTATATTTGGTAATATACGGTAATCTCTGTGCTCTGGAAGTGGATCCCACTACCATCCTTAAATAGTGGGACACAGAAGAACTCGGACCAGCAGTGCGAAACAGGTGAGGGGTGGAATCGCGCTTCGAGTTTCAGCTTCAGAAGTAGCTACGCGATAGCTGATGTAAAAGTAGCCCGGATTACAATGGAAGGATAATGTGTACACACGGGGTGGGACGTTGCACGAGAACGAATGTGGTCCTCAATCAAAACATAGGAGTGGCAGACGGAACTTGGCAATGGTCCACAAGATTGGACATTTTAACACAGATTGATAACATCTCACTCCCGACCTTCAATCCGAATAACCAAGGAGGTTGCGATTGTTTGACCTCTTATACACTGATCAACCTAGTAGAAGCAGATCTTATAGTGCTCTACAATATCGTGCAGTAGAGTGCAATGGATATTAATTCAGTCTCATTCCCATGGGATCAAATAGTTACGTAGCAGCCAGAAAAAAGGAGACCAGTGAATAAAATAGCAACAAGCAAAAACACGAGACTGAGTCGTTCAAAGGTGGCACTGATCTGGCGAATACTTGTTGTCAGTAGTGGTCTCTATCTACTTGTGGGGTTCAACCCTTGGATCCCATACAAGAAAGCAGACCACACAGTCTTTCGGTTAAGATTTTCCTGTGCCTTTGCCAAGTAACCGGAATACTCAAACAGGCTTTGACTAATGAACAGTGAACTTGAAAATACTAGAATGTTTGCGGAATGAGGTCAGATCAGCGTAGGATGTGCATAGGCGCTGAGTTGGACAGTGGGGCGACAGGAAACGGGGTACCCAATATCAAGGAACGGATCGCAGCAATAGCTGAATAATTAGGCTCCTGCTTTGCATAGGATTCGTTCAACTGTGTGGTATGATATGGCTGTGCGCATCTTGTCCGGTGTTTTACCGTTTTCGTAGATGGCTAAAGTGATGGTAAGCACAGGGCCTGTTTGGGAGCGCAGTATAGTGATCAGCAACTCAGGACGTCATTTGCAAGAGCCGTTCTTAACAATTCCTTGTAAGCCTGAAGAAGCTATTATGTCAAGAGCGAGACGTTGTCAGAATACAAACTTGCGCAAAGCCGAACTTATATCTACAGATGGTTTCAATGGTATCATCAGAGATATAGTGTTAGAAGAGTGACGAAACTCAGGCACACGTATGTAACTACAGATTTTCATTTTGCCACACATATTCATTGACCTTTGTTTCAACACACAAGTTGTTAGCCCGGTGGGCTGCCTAGTCGCTGCCGGTGAGGGATCACAGTCCCAACCTAGCACTAATGTTGTCGCTCACTTTCGTTGGATGCACCTGATTCGTGTGTGACATTGTCGCTTCTTATTGGTTTTGCACAGTTGTGTGGGTTCAGTGCTCTGGTTGGCTTCGACAGCTGCGCCTCAGTTAGTCTGTATGGATTGCTGTTTCTGATAGGAAGCAATTCTGTTCCTGCACATTTCGTCTCGTCGTCCCCACTATCGTTAGTCATTTGAGGAAGTCACAGAACCGACACACAATATATTCTGTGGTTTTTCAACCTGAAAAACGGCTAGGCGGCACGTGACCACGTTAACACGATACGTTTGAATTCACAGAAGTAGACAAAGTAACAGGACTTCAGTGCAAAATTAAATCCCAAAGTCTACGGGTATGGGAGAAGTCAACAGGTAAACACTGAATTTTTGGAAAGAGGATGGCAAATATGGTTGGCGGCATCTCGTTTCGGATTTGCCTGTCACTGTGGCAAGCCACAGGACGCCTGCGCCTACAGAGGGACCATGGGTGGCGTGCGCTGCACCACCCACAGCTCAAACCACACACCCCATATCCAGTGTAAACCCGAAGGAATAAGACCAGGAGGCAGGTGGATGGGAGCCACGTTTCATCAACAGAGCCGGCCCACACTCCTTCACAGGCAAACACAAGTACGCTGTAGTTGGGGAATCAACCGCACACAAGGCGGTGGCTGGACCGTAGTCCGCTCCATACTGAGTGCATGGAACCACTCTTCGAGCCTAACACGGCCACAAGGACCGTGCACCCCGTCCCCTCCAGCAACAACCAACTGTCTCCTGGAGCCAGTATGAACGAGGTAGTGGGTAATAGACAGGTAGGCACCTTGTCAACATGCACATCAAGCGCAGACACACTGGGGATATCAACCAACAGCCATTCATTTTAAACGACAAGCCGAGATAAAATAAATCCAATAATGCATACAGATACGGTGGCATAACTCTTCCCTAAATTACCATATGAAGTGAGTTGGTTGGCAACGAATCCGCGATAAGTAAGAAATGTCCACAAGTTACTTACAAATGCTACAAACGCAACAAAATTACCGAAGATAAGCGCAATTAGCGCAAGCAACGTGGGCAGTTAACAGAGCATTATTCAGGTAGGCAGAACAAATCAAATAAACTGGAATGAAATTTATGCAGCTTAAAGAGACCTAGTTTAAGTGTAAGTTGGTTTAGCCCAACTGCGGTGAAGAAGCATCAAGAATGCAACATCAGCCTCAGCATGGGGCATGGATGGCAAATATACACCTGATAAAACCGCTTTGTGTGACATTGCTGGTCATAATGCGGAAGAGACAAGACATTGGACAAATGAAGACTTACTTCCAAGTATTCGGCATCGTAAGTTGTCATCAATTCGGCTTTGTTGGCAATCTTATCGTAATTGTCCCGCAACAAGCGCACAATGTTGGTTGAACTATCGGAGAGGATACCGACAGCGGCACTGGGCAAAAACGACGCCAGCTTGGTGTACAGAGCATGTAGTTTGGTGTCCACCGCGAAGATCACGCTGATGTCCTTTTCAATTAGCACTTGAGCGATCTATGAAAATACGGGAAAGCGGATGAATAAACGATATGTATTAGGAAGGTTTAACCCGTGCATGTATGACAATCCGATGAACAATCAAAGTACACAGTGAAGGCTGCATTGGAGCGATGATCTAGAGAGAGAGTTAGACTGAGAAGACCTTGATGAAGATAAACAGTTGTTGCTGGCATCGTCAGTAGGCAACTAGTACCCGTAAAATGGTTGTTTAAGCGGTGCAGGCGATGCTAACTATGGTGGGCAAACAATTGGGACGATCCATGAATTTGACTTAAACCTGCTGAAGAGACTAGGGAGCAAGTTTTTTCATTACCCCGTGGCTGCGAAACTGAGTTATGCAACTGTCCACCAATTGCCTCAGTCGGTAAAGCACGAGATCACCTGGCGGACTGACAGCCCCTACGTTGATGAGATCACGCTGTCCTATAGCCCGTAGACCGTCTGTCTCAGCGTGGACCTTGCCAATTGTGCGTGGCCGTCAACCGGTGATACGTTAGAAACACACAAAGGAACATAACACTTACCACTGGGGCTGATGAGTGCTGTCCCACCGGAACGGGGCAACAGGACCGGCCTAAGAGTAAGTTACGCGTTTACGCAGCCAGCAAGAAAAATTGCATCCTCCTATTTGAACCCGTGCACGCAAATTTCAATCACTCCATCAAGCGATTATAATTTTCTTTATCCTCCATTCTCTATCCTTTATCGTTTCTTTATCCTTATAATATAAACGAATTCTTTGTTTCGTCATCGTCAAACTCAAATTCTGTAACTGCGGGTCTCCGATTGTGGTTAGATCATTACGTGAATCGCTCAAAGAACGCAGATGATGATCTCACACAGACGACAGGCGCTTAACGTGACCAACAAGTCGTAATGACATTCTAGTTTATGAATTAAGCGTGGACGACAGATATGACCGGAGTAGCAGGCAAATCTTCATGTAGTAAGTCTAATAGCCAACATGGACATTGGGTTTTTTCGCAGACTCTGGAACTTATCGATAATCGCCGGGAAATTCGGGTTGAAACCGAACACAAAAAGATCCGCAAAAACCTCCGGGCAAAACTCCGTGCTAGCATGAAGCGAGATCACGAATCTTAGTGGTCTCATCGTGCGTCAGAGATGGAAGCGGCCGCTGCCCTTAGTAACCATCGTAAGTTATTCCGTCGATACGGGAAACGGTCAGCAAGAGACCTGGTGTTAGTGAAACTATACATGACAAGAGTGGACAGTCTATCCACTACTTGCCAAAACGCTAGATGTTGGGCTGAGCACTTTAAAAGGCAATTTAATCGGTCGGAATTGTCAGATTTCTCGCCGACCACTAACCGCCCTGCTCCGTGGGCTGTGCAACTGAGCTATCAAGCTGTACTATCGGATACTCTCACTTGTATTCTACCCCAAGATGTTGAACAACAGTGGGATTGTTTACACGAAATGATGCCTACCTCTGGCCAATCACTTTGTGGTCTCACCCAACAGGCTTTGAAGAGTTGGATCTCCGCTCTCTTGCTACAACTGTTTGACCGCCGTCGAAATGTGTCACCAGACTCATCTCATAATTCTATGCAGCAGACTCTCAATCGGCATCCCAA